GGGAAGACAGGTGTTGAAGAAAGTCTGTAGTTTGTTCGAAGTGCCCTTCGCGACGCGGCGCCAAGTCTCTGATTAGTGCATAGTAGCACTGACTTCACATTGGAGTTGAAAATCCGGATCTTATTTTACATGCTAAGTGCTTTGTGTTGATCTCCACACAGACTTGAGAGTAATGAAAGCTTGCCTTCCTTTCTCGATCCTCGCTTTAATATCCTCATCAGTTCGATCCGCCTGTAGTTGAAACGATGCTTCCTAGATAGGTAAAGAAGGATGTTTCTTTCAGATTTCTGCCATTCATGCTGATTGTTGTCTGTTGTTATTGATGTTGGTTTTGGCCAGGAATCTTCATCACCTCTGTTTTCTCTATGTTCACCTGAAGTCCTATCTTTGATACTCCTTCTATCGCCAACTTGTTGCTTTTCGCTTGCATATCTTCCATTTTGTGGGAAATCAGACATATATGTCATCGGCAAAGTCCAGATCCTCCAAGTTTTTTGTGTGGGTCCACTGATCACTAGGTTGGGTGACATAAAACTATTATACACCGAACAATTTTGGTGTTCTTTCTATCATTCTTAATTAATTTAATGGGTCATTTGATAAACAGGAAATTCCAATAACTGGAACATTACACTTCCATTATTATTGTCCTGAAATTAGGCTGTTATTTCATATGAGAGATACTTGGTTGTAAAATAATAATGACACAATTGATCTTGTATAATAATCAAAAGTGCAAATTTTAACTTAGATTATATAAATGTGACATTCTTTTAAATTTAAACTTATTTCATACGCGTTTCCATGGAATATCACATTCTCCATAAAATCGATCCATCTTACTCTCACTAGTAGTCCATATTAGCATATTCTTCAATAGATTTATGTAATGTAGTAATAAAAGCTTTAATATAAAGTCGTTTGAAAAGACAATCTTTATGGCCTTAGAAACGGTTAAAAAGGGAACTAACTTCTGATCCCGAACTTAGCCATAAGACAAAGCTGCCCACTGAGGAAATTATTTTAGGAATTCAGTTATGCCTCACATCTAATGTCTTTGAATTCCAGGGCAAAATATACAGACAAACAGAAGGTGTAGCTATGGGATCACCAATATCCCCTATCGTAGCAGATATCTTTATAGACAACTGGGAAAATATTGCTCTTAACAGAACATTTAATCCTACTCCAAAAATATAGTGGAGAGATGTGGATGACACTTTCACTCACAGTGTTAAAAACAGAACATATCTCTAGCTTCTTGACGCATATAAACTCCACTAGTGAAGGGAATCAAATTTACATTTGAATCGGAAAATCAGCAAGAAGAATTAACTATGTTAGATTGCAAAATAAAACGAACAGAAGAAGGTAAACTGCACACTAGCGTTTATAAAAAGCCAACGCATTCTAATAGATATTTAGACTTAAGTTCATCTCATCCGTTGTCTGTCGATGGTGGTTTTTTGGCTTCCGTCGTTTTCAGTGCACACAGAGTGAAGAGGAAGTGAAGAGCCATTAAGTAGAGGAGTTGCATTAGTAGAAGGAAGGCAAGATAATAGAGATGAAGATGAAGACAAAGGTGAGTGAGGATTAGAGAGGTTTCGCGTGCACTTCGGATTGTGAGGGCGATTGTTACTTCCCGGCTGCCCACACCGTGGAAGTTGGTTGCGTGACCGCAGAGCCCAGGGGACAACTGCTTGAGGCCGGTCACACACGGCCTGTTTTTGTTTGTAGGCGTGACATCCGGCTGTCAACCAAGGGACGTGTGTACTGCTCATCATTTCGCCCCGTCCTTCTCTATGGCGGTGAGACGTAGCCATTGAGAGCGGAAGACATGAAGAGATTGTCTGTTTTTGACCACAGATGTTTACGATCTCTTTATCGCGTTAGGTGGTATAATAAGGTAAGTAATGTTGTCGTTAGGCGTAAAGTGTTGGGCAAAGAGGGAAAATCACTCGAAGAGGCTATAAAGTTACATAGACTGAGATATCTAGGTCACGTGCTGTGCATGCCTAACCATCATCTCCCCCGACGGGCATTACTAGCTGATATAGGTGCAGGTTGAAAAAGAGTAAGTGGTGGCCAAACAAAAACATGGCCTCATCAATCCATGAAATCCCTGACATTTAAACTGAGTGAGGTAGGGAGGGAGATGCAGACTTCCGGGTTGGGGCCCTCGGGACTCTAAGAATCAATGGCTCGAGACAATAAGTGACATGGCTCAAAATCGTTGTCAATGGCGCAGATGTATTCAGTCTCTGTAATCTTTCACATTCCTTTCTACCATTACTCATTCTGTTTCACTCTTATACTTGTCAAAACTCTATTGATTCTCTTCACTCATTTTCTTGTCTACCTTTGTGTGCTATTTGGAACGTGGCAACTCGAACTGCTGCACTTCGGTGTCAAGTTCTATGTTGAATCCAGCACCATCCGTTGTCTGTAAAGGCTGGTTTAGTTAAGTGTCTAACAAACCGAGCAACAGCACTAAGTAGCACAAGAAAAGACCTAAATGATGAAATGAAACAGAAGCGTTAGTTTTAAATAACCATCCTATAAAATTCATTAGGAAGATCACTATTGGCTAAAATAAGAATAATTGTGGAACTAGTAATGATAACATAAGGAGGGGACATCTGAGACCCTACGTAGGATTCTTAATAAAGCAGGAATTAGGGTGGCTTTGTAGGTTAAAGGACCCTGTTGACCCAATTAGACAAAATAATATAATTTACAAAATATCCTGCAATGACTGTGAAGTCAATTACATAGATCAAACTAGTAGGTCGGGGGTAGTCAGATTACTAGAACATAAGAATTTAGCTAAGGAAAGAATGGTTGACCCTGAAGAGATAAGTAATTTAGAAAAAAGCTCAGCAATAGCACTTCACGTATTAACAAACAACCACACAATAGGGTGGGATAGGGTTAAAATTCTAAGAAGTAATATAAGAAGGTGGAGAGATTGATTACTGAATCCTGGTTCATTGAGTCTACACCCAATGCATGCAACAGAATGACTCAATGCAAATACCAGAGATATGGAAGATATCATTACCACCAGTCAAATCAGAGCAGGATAATAAATAATCTTAAAATCCTACTTCAATTCACGTACATGATGACATTCTAACAAGTTATTTATTTTTACTATAGAAAATATCCTGTTTCCCATCTGATTGTATTTGATCAATAACACTCATATTATTATTTCTGAATGTACTTTATCTTATATGGATTTTTATTTAAATGTCTAATCAATTCCCCTCATCTATATAAATGAAGTGAAAAATTGTGTGAGTAACTTGATATGATTATGAGCAATAGTCTGTGCTCGAGACGTCATCAATTAATATTACTGTACAACACTGTGTGATTTATCAAAATAAAATCTTACCTATAAAGACAATCTTAATTTGTAGATATTATCATTGTGGTCTAGACTCACCTTGAAAATTGTCCTCAAAAGTATGTGCGTCGGTGGCACAGCGGTTAGGACTCTCGCCGACCATGCACATGGTCCGGGGTTCGATCCCCGCCGATGCACACCTGATGTCAATGGTTGGCCTGCAAAATTTGGGCTACCGATATCACATGCTGAAAATTACATACTTGTACCAAAATACTGTATGGTTTCAAGCTATAATAAAAAAAGATAAAATAAAATAAATAAGAAACTAGCTAACAGTACGGTCAAATGTCAGGATGTCCACTGTCTTATAATTTCTTCTGTACTTATCGTTATTTTGTAAACTTCCATCCTGTTAATTAGTTTGGTCAGCACTTAATTGAGTGGTATAAATCCTGCGCATTTTTCGACTTTGATTGCTTAGTTCAGCCTTGATTGTTACAGATTATCCTATTGGCCAGTAAATTACGTTTGTTTTCTTAATTTCAATCGCGGCTGGGACAGAAATCTGTTTGGATTGTTTTAATATGGCTTTTTTTATTCAAGAAAAGCGATATCACCTCAGAGATGTAGTGAATACTGAAATTCGGCTAGGTTGTTAATTTTAATTTGCTTATCCTCTATTGTGTATGTGAACTCAGATTGAAGTCTTTCATTCACCTCAAGTCTTGATCACAGCTGATGAATAACTCAGCTTCTTATGAAATCTGATGGCATACTCCATTGTCTACCAGTTCCCAATTTACTCTTACAGGACACTTAATCTCCTTCGTAGTGTTTCAGTAAATCAATGAATGAATGGATCACATTCACTGAACTCTCCGCAATGTTGGGTTTCATTGTAGATTTTGTCATGAACCGACATCAGCTTGAGAACCAGGGAAAACTGAGACTCATTGACACTACGTGCCAACAATCCCACTAGGGTTACAGGATTTTCATCATGAGCTGACATTAGTTAGAGAACCATTGGAAAACCTGGGAGTACTGGACAGCTGTTTCGTCCTAGTCTGGGACTCTTAAGCAGTACGCACCCACCGGGATTCGAACCCAGGACCTTCTGGTTACAAGGCGAGCTCGGGTCCCAGTGGCTTAATGGTATACGAGCTCGCCTGGTAACCAGAAGGTCCTGGGTTCGAATCCCGGTGGGCGCGTACTGATGAAGAGTCCCATACTAGGACGAAACAGCTGTCCAGTACTACCAGGTTTTCCAATGGTTCTCTAACTGATGTCAGCTCATGATGAAAATCCTGTAACCAGTCAAATCCCTACAAACCAACACTTGAATCCCACTAGGGACTGAACTCAAGATCTTCAAGTTATACGAAGCGCTTGTTGACTATTCAGCCAATAGGATGGAATCCAATGGTCCATGATATCTAACTTCACTACCGCTAGCGAATATCATCGGTGAGTATCTATTTGCGCACACTTGGTGGATCCTGCCGATGACAACATCTTATTAAAACTCCAGGATATCTATCCCTTATTTATTTTTCGATTAGCATTATTATAACTAATTCTTTAAATTTTTCTTTATCGGCATTATTATTTTTATTATTATCATTTTTATTATTCTCTATTTTAGTTCACAACTCAAGACTCATTATAGTACTTCTTCAATGGATAAATCAGCCGCCTTAGAATTAGCCAAAAAGAATGCTTGTCAGTCAGCTGTACATGATTGGCTTAAGGTAGTTTTTAAACATATTAACAAGAAAAAGAATAATTGGTGTTAATTTCTTTTACTTTAATGTTGTTGTCTTTTCTCATTTTAAGGATAATCAAATTGTCGGTCTTGGTAGTGGTACAACAATTAACTATGCTGTAGAATATATCGGTAATTAAAAATAAATTTTTCAATTAATGTTATTTGTTTTTCTCTCTCTCTCTTCCTATTTATCTATATTTTAGCTGAAAAAGTTAAGAAACAGAATTTACATATCCAGTGTATACCAACTTCTTTTCAAGTTAGTTACTTAGTTATTCATGGATTATTTATTACTTTTGAGAATAATTAAATATTATTACTATTATTATTATTACTATTAATAAAACACAAACTTGTTTAATAATAATAATAATTTGCTTTATTCCAAAACAGTACTTGTGATACAGAATGGAATTCTCAGCATTTTTACTACAGTATTGCATCCAGTTAGTACATTATCAATAAATAGAATTCTACATAGATTGAGGAAACCACAGTTCATTATTACAACAATAAATTGGCATGTCAGTAGCAAAGGTAAAGCTGAAACAGTGTTTGAAGGTGTTAGAAAAGTGGGAGCTGACTTATTAACTGGCGTAAGCGGAAGAAAGAAACAAAGCAGCACATAACAGAAAAAAGAGAGAAAGAGAAAAGGAAAAGAAAGAAAGAAAACGTTGTACCTATAAATGATATGAGTTGGAAAGACGAGGTCCAGTTGTTCTACTGACTATTCAATGAATTATGGGTGTCACGCCTAATGCTTTCTTTATCGCACAGAACACGAGCTAAGTAGGGTATGGTTGAGTTTTTGTACTTGCTGGTGCGAGCATATAGTTTTCTATATAGGCTTCTGGTTTTGCCTGATGAGATACAAGGGGAGAGTTGTGAATGAAAAGAGTGGTGTGAGTTAGATAAAATGGATTTGGCCCATTTTTCACATGAGTCCATGTGCCTGTCAACCAGAATATTAACAAGCTGGTTAAGTGGCACGTTGCTTACCCTGCTGACAATTTTTAACACTCTACGTAATAAGATGTAGTCCTTCTTCAATAGCCCTGGAAAAACTAAGGGGGAACAGTAGGGAATAATAGGCAGAATGCGAGAGTTAACGAATTGTAGGAGTAAGGGTTGGGTTATACCAGAATTTCTTAACTTCTTGATGTAGAAGGTAAGACGGAATATTTTCTTAGAAATTGCTAAGATATGAGACGACCAGGAAAGATCAGCAGATAGAACAACGCCTAGGTATTTAATTTCCGACTTGGTTTCTATTTCAGTGCCATCAGTGTTGCACACTTCGTGAGAGCCAACCAGTTTGTTTAGGTCGGATTTATGCCTAAAGGTGAAATTGACTGTTTGGCATTTGGAGGGGTTTAAGGTAAGGCCGTTTTCCTTGGACCACTGGCTGATTTCTGATAAAAAGCCCTTTAGTTTGGAGCAGTCACTTTGACATTTGACAGGCAAAGATACAGTCAGGTCGTCAGCATATTTGACAAAATTAATGTCATTTAAAGATGGTAAGTCACGTAGAAAGAAGAAAGAAAAGAGAAGTGGGGAGAGTACAGCACCTTGGGGGACACCAGCTTCAGTGAGCACAGCAGAGGAGGATTTACCTTTGTATACGGTGTACTGCTTTCTGTTAGAGAAGTAGGAATGCAACCAGTTAGTGACCCAGGACTCAGTTTTTGTCATAGAGAGCTTATTTAGCAAGAGACATCTAGGTACAGAGTCGAAAGCAGAATTGAAGTCGAGGAACGTGCAGCGGACGTATTTGGTACCTTTATCTAATGATGAGACGTTGCGTTATGTGCACAAAGAGATGCACCACACAAACTGTGTTATCGCAGAGTGCTTGTACAACGCCTGGGACGATAATACCCGAACCTGCAGACTGAAGCAGTCAGTTGCCTGAATGGATCACATCCTGATCCTTTGGCTTGAAATCTGATCCACAAGGTGTAGTGCAGCAGTATCAGAAGTTGCATTTCACATGGATGTTGGCTACAAAAACAACTTCATAAGCCTTTCAATACATTCGGATTCTGGAGCCTATGTACACCGTAGGTTTGAAGTCAGGTTTGATGCGTTTTTTGCCAGTTACAGCATAACTCCTTGTTTGAGACTCCAGTGTGTATTACACAACAATGAATTCCTTTCAACCAAATGATTAGAAAAGCATAATCACTCGAAAGAGAGATTTGTCAGAACTTTAGAAAATTTCCTCTATAGATATGTTTGACATGGAACTAGAAAACCATACATATCTCTTAAATAATGGATATCCATCCTAGGAGGTTTATTGACAGAAACATCAAGAAAGAAACTGTGCCCAACGAAATCACAGTGCCGAAAGAGACACTGTTTATGATTTTGACGTTAAAAGGTAACACTGTTGCTGAAGTCATTATGCAGCCGAAATATGATTCGACAATGCGTTAGGGATAAACTACCGCTTATGTCCACCTTCATGTTCATATACTCATTCACGTGCTCGTGTGGAGCTGATTACATTTGACGTTGTAAGCGTGTTCTCCGTAAATGCGTAGCTGACTACTACCCGGTTTGGTTAATGAAAGGTGAGCATAGAACGACGAAGTCTTCTTCAATTTGTGAACACATTCTTGAGTCAGGTCATTCAGCCCCAAGTGATTTATCCTTCAAAGTTATTTACAGGACCAAATCCAACCACTCGAAAAGCTTACGTTTTCTCCACTTATGTATAACCGAAGTTCTAGGTATACATGTAAAGAAAACTAAATTTGCAATTAATAGTGTTCTCTGAGCTGGTTGGTTTAGTCGCGGAGCTTTCATCGTCCTTCTGGAGAACATCTTCAGCGCAATATTTAGCATAAAGTGAAATGATTTAAATTTCTTCATGAGTGATATAATTGCGTCTCCTGGTAACGATCTTTACATATGTATTGACCATTTTCTATTTACTTGGATTTTAAACTTTCTAGTCACCTGATTTGCTTTTTATTAGTTGGTATATTTCGTCTATATTAACGTGTTTGTTAATTGCATTTTCGTTTGAGTACCAGGCTTCTAGGAATTCCCTGGCACTTTTGGTGTTTCCTCTGTGTAAGATTTTGACATTATCCCAATCAAATTGATGACCATAATTGTCTATATGCATTGATACTAAAGAATATATATCGTGTCTTTTCATGGCTGATTTGTGTTCTTGGAGTCTAATTCGAAGGGGACACTCACTTTGGCCGATGTAATGCTTGTTACAGTTCATACAATTTATTTTGTAAATGGTATTAATTTTATCTCCTTTTTCTGTTGGATCTTTCGGTTTGCACAATATCGAATTAAACGATTTGACTAGCTTGTGTGCTCCGCAACTAAACCAACCAGCTCAGAGGACACTATTAATTGCAAATCATCCACCTGAGCTACAAATCTTCTCTATTATTTCAGAAACCTAAATTATGTGTTCAAAAACGTTTCGTTAGATCCTTTTCTTTACCTTGGTCATAGTTACGTTCTATTATTTTATTTTTTTATTTTACCATTTGAATTCATTCCACTTCACTTCACTTTCGCCGTCTTTACTATTATCATCATCATCATCACACTGTTAATCTTTTTTAAATTTGTTTGTTATATAGGCCAGACAACTTTTAATCCATCACAAACTGTCAGTAACAGATCTTGAAATGTGTGAACAAGTAAATAGTCTTTTCTATTTCATAAACACCTGATGATTATACACATATTTAGATTGATGTGACATTCGATGGAGCTGATGAAGTGGATGAACAGGTGAATTTAATCAAAGGTGGCGGGGGTTGTTTACTGCAGGAGAAAATTGTCGCCTCATGTACCACGAATTTTATTGCTATTATAGATGAACGGTTAGTTGATACTTTCTTAGCCTGCTATGCGTCTAATGTCCATAACACTTATTATAATAATAATGATAATAATAGTAATAATCTTATACAATGAAAAATATTATCTGTATAACTCACTTCTCTACTAATTCAGTATAAGATGATACTGCAAGATGCGTTTGCATCGATACACAGCTAAGGGATAAGAGGGTGAATTAATTAAATTTATCGATTGTTCTAGCGAAAACCGACAAACTGGTCGAAGAAGCAGCAAAGACAGGAATCCAGGTGAACATAGACAAGACGGAGGTTATGAAAATAACCAACCAACAACAACAACAACAGCAACATCCAGCGCCAATCACTATCAACAGGAGGGATTTGAAAGAGGTTACTTCATTCACTTATCTAGGGAGCATTGTCTCAACTACAGGCACATGGAACGGACGAGGATGTCAAATCGAGAATCGGGAAGGCGAGAAACATATTCATCAACCTGAAACCAATCTGGAAATCTTCTGCTTCACTCAACGAGCATAAACGACAAAATTCGGATTTTCAATACAAACGTCAAGTCAGTCAGTTCTTCTATACGGATCAGAAACTTGGCCAGTGTGTCACAAAGAATATTTCCAACAGGTTGCAAGCAGACCTTTATCAACAACTGTCTTCGCTCTATACTGAAGATCAGATGGTCGGAAATAATCACCAACTATGGGAACAAACAAAACAAGAACCGATTGCGCAACAAATATGCAGGAGAAAGTGGAGATGGATTGGACACTCGCTGAGGAGACCACTGGGTGACATCGCTCGTCAGGCCAGTGCTCGAGTGGAACCCGAAAGGGGAGCGGCGAGTGGGACGTCCAAGAGTGACATGGAGGAGATCGTGTGAAGAGGAGTTGAAACAGCATGGACTAACATGGATGCAGGTGTCAAGTACAGCATAAGTGTAGCTGAAGCCCTATGTTCCACTAGGAACCCAAGGGAGCAATATTAATAATAATAATCGATTGTTCTGTCTATGTACTAAGTAATATGAAGGTTATCGATTACTGATTGATTGATAGGAGTATTTGGAAAACAGTCTAATATGAACTGCTAGTGTTTGGTGGCTAGACTAAGGTGATCTTACTTAACACTGTTTGTACATGAACTTATCTGTATTGTACTTGGTTTAACGTCGGCTTAGAGAGGTAAAGCAGCAGCTTGAAGCATCGAAATTCTCGATGGCTACTCGATTATAAGTTACACAAACCTTGAATAGGTTGGTTGCTAGTGAAATTGTCGATGTGTATATGGCAAAATTTAGTTAGATATTTATCAAAAGGCATTATTACCGATACCAGTGATTGATTGTCTGTTAAAGAAGTAAGCGTAGTGTAGTAAAGTGTGGCGTGAAAACAAAATAATCAGCCTATCATGAATTCAAAGGTGATTTTCATCTGTTAATCCGTGTTATCTAGAGATGTATTGCATACCTGGAAATTAGTGAATAGGTAGTTGGTTCGTTTTAGCTTGCGAATCATCTCATAAATAAGAGTCAATGAAGATGGAGTTCATCAGTTTTAGTACTTCACTTTCTGTCAGTGTGTTCAAATCTGACTCTGCCTACTTCAATCTTGCCTACTGGGTAGTATTATTTTAACAACAGAAGACAAGGACAAGGCAACAGATCGTTTATTTAGGAAATCAACACATATTTATATATTTTCATGTACATTATTATACATTATTGTAAGTAGACAAACACAGTCTTCTGATTGGTTGTTTCTCACTGAAAGTTAATCTTTCATCTCTCTGTGACTGTTTCTTGAATGTCTGCTAATTGTATCCGCCTACGCAAAGTTTGCTGTGATTGGTTGTTGAGTTAGTCTTTGTCCTTGTTTTCACATGACCAATATTTGGGGCATAGACACTGACATAAATTACTGTCTACCGATTTGGCCACCAGCCAGCTCTCACCACACTATATTAGCACAACACGACAATTATAACTCGACCTAGATATGAATTTGCAATCACTTAGACGGTTGAGTGGAGTATTGTCAGGTTTCATGAAGAGTAAATTACCAATGCATGAAATCAAATGACCTCCGTATTTTCAAACTTCTGTTAGTTTTTTCTGATTTTTCTGCAGCTACAAATTGCTTTTATCATTTTTCTCTTCGTTTCACTGATACATGATGTCTTGAAAATACATATGACTAAACCTACAGAATTGTTGATATTTGTGTGGTACAAGCAAATTGTGAGCGTTTTACTGTAATCTACTTACTACATTATGCCTCTTTGTCTTCTTTCTGTTTATATCCTACTTCATATCTATCTGCATATGATTTGTCGATCAAAGGATGTGTGTTCTGTGCAGCATTTCTCTCCATCCTTCTTTACCACTGTCACATAGCCACTGAAAGTAGAAGATACGAAGAGACTAGTTGTCTCTGACCGTAGTTGCGTGAGTTCTGTTTCACATGTAGCTTCGAGGTTGGGCGTAATATTCGGTGGGAAGGGAAAGTTACTAAGGTTCATTGACTGAGATGTCTAGAACATTTGTTACGCATACCAAGCCATAACCTTTTTCATGTAGCAATGTTATCTGAAATAGGATTACGCTGGAGAAGAGGTTCAGAGAGCCAAATCAAAACACTGGACCAATCTATGCTTTTAGCCATATATGGAGGTGTAAAGTGTCTGACTAGGGTCGTTGAGACGCTAAGAAGCAATGGTTTCAGACTGTTGGAGATATGGTTCTTGGTGGCACAGACACATTCAGTCTTTGTGGTCTCTCAAGCCCACTAAGCTCTCATTATTCTTCACGTACCTACTATTTCTCCTGTATATTTTCTTTTATCATAGTTTCTCTGTACTTGTTTTTTTTTCTACTAGTGAGTATATAGCCACTTGGACTGCTTAACATCAGTGCGAAGTTCTAAATTAAATATTCAGTTCCATTTGAGCATACATTTTAATTTCCCTTCATTTGTGCTGTTGAAATTCCAACATTTTGGATCAGTGATCTTCCCCTGTGTGAAATTCTACACTGTTTTGTTTGTCTGTCTTTCTGTCTATGTAATCTCATACTAAGTAGTATCTATGTATGCGTAAGAGATTTCTAATTCAAGATATACACTTTTGCATAAAATTACTGACCAGGTGATTAGTTAGATTTCGCTTGAATTCGAATTATTTTAAACAGTACTGACAGATTGTAGCGTGAGGTGTCGCGAATTGATAGGAGTTAGAACTCATGGGCCATTAGATTTCGTTCGGCTGAATGATTGGTCAACGGATTCACATCTTAATATAAAGATCTGTGTACTACTGAAGAGTCAGAAACTGGGACGAAACAGCTGTTCAGTATTACCTGGTTTCTGTGGGATTTAACAATCAATACTACCAAGTAGACATTATTTCATAGGAAATGCTATACACTTTAGTCCATTTCTCCTCCTCCTCCTCCTATTGAAATACTTTTATCAAAATTCTATAGAAAATGTTCTAAAACTCTGGGATCTTATTGGACTAAAGGATTGCCGATTGAAGTTATTCCTATGGCATTCAAACCAGTGCAAACACGAATAGAGAAATTATTTGGTGGACGAGCTATTCTCCGAGAAGCTGTTTCAAAGATGGTATGTTTTTTATGTTGATTGTGTATTTACAAAGAATGCCCTTATAATCATTCGATTTATCATGTTTTTGGTATAAAAATTTGTTCCAGTGGTTACAGTTGTCACACTTTGCTTGTGCAGCATACGAAGGTAGAGAATAGAAAGAGGGAATTCCAGAGAAGTATGAGAAGTAGAAATGTACAGGAGAAAGGATAGTAACATGGAAAACACAAAGATTTAACGGACCTGGGGGTAGTCACACAGGGTGAATACATTTGTGCCATTGAGAGGGGTTTTGATTCATATCACCAGCAGTCCCTATATACCGGAATCTGACCAAGCAGTCTACACCTCCCTACGGGACAGAAATCAACAGTCAGCGACTTCATGGACTGATGCCTAATTTTGATTCGGCCATCCCTTTTGCTTATGGAAGAAGTGTATAGGCGATTATTACTTCCCGAGTACTGATCGCACTGGGAATTAATTTCTTCCTCGAATACCTGAAATAAAAGGAGCATTAGTGTTACGCGACCTCAGATTCTAGGGGTTGGCTGGCTGGATTCAACATAGAACTTGTCACCGAAATGCAGCAGTTCGAGTTGCCACGTTCCAAATAGCACACAAAGGTAGACAAGAAAATGAGTGAAGAGAATCAATAGAGTTTTGACAAGTATAAGAGTGAAACAGAATGAGTAATGGTAGAAAGGAATATGAAAGATTACAGAGACTGAATACATCTGCGTAAGCCATTGACAACGATTTCGAGCCATGTCACCTATTGTCTCCAGCCATTGATTCTTAGAGTTCCGAGGGCCCCAACCCGGAAGTCTGCATCTCCCTACCTGACTCAGTTTAACTGTCAAGGATTTCATGGATTGATGCCATGTTTTTGTTTGGCCACCACTTACTCTTTTCCAACCTGCACCTATATCAGCTAGTAATGCCCGTCGGGGGAGGCGATGGTTAGGCATGCTCAGCACGTGACGTAGCCATCTCAATCTATGTAACTTTACAGCTTCTTCCATTGATTTTCCCTATTCAACAGCAGTACGAATTCGTCTACAAACTATCAGCACAGTATAAATAACTTCCTTTATGACTGGTAACTGCTTTTAGTCGAACTGCTATCCAAATGACCTTTCTGGCATAGTAGGACCTGCAAAAAGAGATTAGTTCCAACCAGTGTAGCTTGTTGGGTCACTGTGATATGCAAGCCCGACCACCACGTCAAGGTATTAGCTAACCAGTTGGATCATCAGCTGGTATAGTGTCAGAATACTAATTCGGTGGTGGCTGGTCTGAATCTTGACGTGACTTAGTCTTTCATTCACCTACAATCATCATTCACTACAAAGTCGGTGACAATGTGCCAACACAAAGCAAATAATGTTGATTATTCATGACCTAATTTGTCTTTTGAACTGGTTATTGACATACATAAACAAAATATTCATAAAATAAAAAAACGGCAGACAGAAAAGAGTCTTGATTTCACCTATTTTATACATTGATTGATGATTCGTTGGACCTGAAGTCATTTTACAGCCTTGCCGATATATATATTCAACAGTGAAGAAAGATGTGGATTTACAGTCATGTGAACTTGTAAAATCGACATTTTCTAGTAATTAAATCAATCATGTGACGTCTATTCTAGAGATCGGCGTGTTTGACTTTATAAAGTAAGTAGGTGGAACAACTAACTGAATGGTGGTGCTAAAATGCGTACGAAACAGAGTACAGTAATCAGTTAATAGCACTTTTGATATTACTAATCAATTCAACTACAGTAAATTAATGTGCGTCGGTGGCACAGCGGTTAGGACGCTCGTCGACCATGCACATAGTCCGGGGTTCGATTACCGGCCGACTCACTCCTTTACCTCGCTAAGCCAGTAGTGAGACTGGTAAAGCGGAAAGGTTGGGTATAAGGCTAGCAACCCCATCGTGTAAAAATTAACACTGCTACAGAAACTTCATGCCTCTAGCTTGGAGCCCCATGTTCCACTGGGAACGTGAAGGAAAAAAAATTAGTGTTGATCAAGACGAATCATTTGTAATAGTATACAGTGAGGAAAAAAAGTACAGTGTTTAAATCCTTGAATATATTGATAATGCTATAAACTGACTTCTAGACCTATGAGTTATTGGTTAATGAGTGAAACAGGAGCATTCACAACTCTTTTCTAGCTACCCTTTTTATTCTATGAATCTTTTGTTTGTCTGTGTCAATAACCAGTTCACAAGACAGAATAAAAAAGGACGAATAATCAAACTTCTCAGCCAATGACCCATCAATTCTAACTCCTGCCAGTTGGTGGTATATAGCGCTACAACCACCTAACCTGATGGACTCCTCTAGTCACAAGTGTTCCTACTACAACTGCATCCTATAGAGTTAGTCACTAGTGAATAATAGATTAATTTCTGAATGTCGGTTTGTAGGGAGTTAGAAGAACTGATAGGTCGGATTGGATTCTATCCCAATGGCTGAGTGATCAATGAGCTCGCCCTGTAATCTGAAAGTCTTTGATTCGATGCATGGCAGGGTCATGGTTGCGTACTGTTGAAGAAGAGTGCTAAACACAAGAGTGAAACGCCCCTAAATTACTTCTTAGTTTTCCATGGCTCTCTAACTGAAGTTAGTTTTTTGGTCAATCAAATCCCTGCAAACCAACATTTGAAAAGTGCATTCCATTAGCTAATGTAGAAGAATTTAAGCGCTATGGTGGAATATAATTTAATATTGTCTGTCTGTATGTTTTCGACATAGAACTTTGAACATATGTGCAGCAGTTCAAGTCGCCATACTCCATGTAGCAAACAAAGCAAGAGAAGAAAGTAGGAGAAATGCATATTAGAGACATTAAACAGAAGTGTGAGACAAAGGAATAGTAATAACGAAGAACAAAACAGTTTAATTGGAGATCATAAGTCACAAGGAGTGGATGGATCTGCGCCATTGAGAACGATTTTGAGCCATGTCACCGATTGTCTCCAGCCATTGGTTTTTACCGTCCCGGGGACCTCAATCTGCCAGGAAGTCTACACCTTCCTACTTGGCTTAGACTAACTGTTGTGGATTTCATTGACTGGTGAGGCCATGTTTTGGTTTGGCCACCGCTAGCTCTTTTCTAGTCTGACCCTATATCAGCTAACATTTCCGTCGAGGAAGGCGATGACTAGGCATACGTAACATATGTCCTAACCATCTCAGTCGATGTAATTTCACAGTCTCGTCGATTGATTTCCCCTCCTTACCTAGCACTCGACGCCTAGCTTCAATATTGCTCACCTTATGATACCACTTCACACGGGAGATAGAACACAGACACCTATGATCAAAGACAGCCAATCTTTTCATGTCATCCACTCTCAATGGCCAGGTCTCACAGCCATAAAGGAGGACGGAGCGGACTGATGAGCAGTACACCCGCCCTTTGGTCGATAGTCGTATATCACGTCTACGCCAGAGACGGCGTAAACTGGCATATGCGAAACTAGCCCTCTGTATTCGTGCTGAGATTTCGTCAGAGAATTTCATATTAGTTTAGTTAATTTGATATAACACACACGGTGATGAATCATAATACTTTGCTACTATCTTCTAACTGTTCAAATAAGAGGGTGTAGTGAAGTAGCATTCTAATCTACAACCTGGAACTGATATATAAGTCAAAGCCCTAAACCACTGACCTAGAAGTCCCATGTGAGAAAACATTGGTCATCAGACAATAGTGTAAACTATAACTGTGTAGTATTTAATTTTTCTTATCGTTATTATTTTTTTGATTTTTATTATTGCAGGGTCCAGTTGTAACAGATAATGGGAATTTTTTACTCGATTGGAAATTCGATACCAGTAAACAGTATCATTGGCCAGAAGTAGATATTGAACTTTTACGTATACCTGGTAAGCTATGCTACTTTATTATTTTTATTTATTTATTTTTCAAAAGAATTTGATACACTTTAAGTAGTATATGTGTGTCCAGATGCAGTTTTTGTCAAATTTGTCAATTAATTGTAAATGGATTCGTGTAAAGCGAATTTTGCTTGACACCATTTTCAATGATCAATAATCAACACATGTGTTATTTAATCAATATCCTCTTTCAACTTACATAGAACCACACTTTGTCAGGAGTTGAAATCACTCAGAGGTTAATTGTAAAACAAGGTACTTACAGCATTCTTAGAAATAGGAGGGAATCCAATTCCAGTGAAATCAGTGAATGGAATCAACCCATTGGTTTATTAAATCTTGATATGAGAGACGCCTAAAGAAAAACTGACACCACTTACACATCTAGGCTTTAGCGAAAATATTCATTCAGACATCTATAAAATACAAAATAATTGAGCAAAGAATATCCCTTTCGATAATTTCCTCTTCTGGCTCTACAATTATATATGCATGTTTACATACATAGAATATTCCAAACCTCCAACGACTGGCGTATGAAGCTCACTGGAGCTCACCGGCAGACGTATGGACAAAGGGCTTGTTGGATGTCCTGGATGTCTGGCCCCATTCAAAAAGCCGTATGAACCGAACTCCGGTCACCGGCTGCCAATGGATAGTAGACTCCCTACTCCACTCCTACTGCCTTGTAGGTCACACTTGGTTGTGTAAAGGCTAGAGCTACACTCTCAAGCAAAAGGCCGAGCGATTCTGGGGACATCACTCGTACCGAATTCCCATGAAACCTCATGAACTCTCTTACAAACGACTCTCACCATGCCTAGGCAGCGATGATTCGAGATGTTCATGAAGCCGGCTCATCCTCCCGTAGGAGATAGCCGAAGTAAAGTAAGTAAGTAATATTCTAGAATAGTAGTCAATAACAATATTAGTGTTTTTTAAATAATATCGATTTGTTAAGTAAGATCACAATGGAATTACAGTTCATTAAAGATGCTTAAATAATAATAATAATAAAAATATAATAGCAAATAGAATATCAACTAAAATTAGGGAAATTTCCACAAAAATTGAGGATCATTCGAACCTAGATGGCCAAGGTAAGGACAATGTCTGAACTAGCTTCTTTTGGACGCACAAATTAGGCTTCTTGATGTGGATCCCAACGGCCAGCCTCAGCAATATTTAGTAGTCGAACTCTTAAGGTGAAATTAAGATTTGTTGGTATGCGGTAAATGACTTTGAAAGCCGCCTCGTTAACATCAATCTTGTGTTCTGTATGCACAAGATGAAATAGAATAGCACTACGAATAGATTTTGTTTGTCCTTTACTTAACCACTATGCAGAGTGATGTTCGGAAATCCGACGAGAAGAAACATAGGCCGTACAATTAGGCGTGTTTCTCGTCGAATTTCCAAACATCACTCACCCTGCGTTGTTTAAACCTCGCCTAACCGCCAGCAAATCTAGTAAAGAGGAAATGTCAAGCGTGAAACTAGCAACCTCATCCTGAAGATATGATAAAACCATCGCTACTGAAATTTCAAATCTCCAGCTTTGAAGCCTTATGTTCCACTCGGAATGCAAAGGAATTAGAAAAATAATTAAGATAGAATATGAGTTTTGGGAATAAACACAACACTACTGGATACTGGAGCTTAATCCCAATTGAAATGGTGATGCCGGTACGTCCAACTGACAAGTTTTAAGTATTGATAAATAAATCGCCTTCTGTATCCAATGCAATCTTAATTATTGACTTAAAAAACTTGAAAATGTATTGTAAGAAGGTAAATAATTTCTACTGGTGACCTTAATCAAATGTAATTGGTTACTCTGTGTAGGTTTATTTTCTCTTTTTTTATTCCTTATTTTGATTGGCTAATTTCATTGACCTCAGCACCAACTTTTTCACTATTTATCATTTTGATCCTCTGGCGTAATTGATTTTATTCTGATTGACCTAAATTACATATATTCTCTGTCCAAAATGTATGAATTTTTAATTAAAAGGAAGGCGTAAAGTACAACGCCCAGTCACATGTTGTTGTTTTTTTTCATTAATACCCAAAATATTTTTTTGATATAATAGTAGAGTTTTTATGCAATATAGTACAGATTAGTTTTATTTAGTGGAATTCAGATAATATCATGCTCACCTTACTCGCATCGTCGAAGTATCTGTACTACTGAGTTAACAGGTTGACAGAGATCTAGCCTGTCGCTCAAATGCAGTGTAACAATCGGGAATTCAAAAATGATTTGTTTTTAATTGTTGGATGGTGACTAGCAGTGGAATCCAGAATGTGCATTTCGTCCTATTTGGGAGTCGTCAACTGGATGTACCTGCATTCCCCAGTGAGTGATGATGTTCCCACCGAGGCTCAAACCCAGTACCCATAGTTTCAAACGTTTAGACATCATCGAAGCATCTGAACAAGAAGCTGACATGTCAACCTGAGACCGAGCACTTCGGTCCAATCAATCGGCGGGAAAATCTAAAATTCAGTTAAATGATCTGTTTTTGTTTCTCATAAATATTCCTCAAAATTATTGAATTTTATGTTGTTCACTGCTAATCTTTTAAGTCTTTTAAAAATTCCTCCTCATAATGTCATCAAGGGAAGTGAGTTACGATGAAGATTTCTTGTTCAATGGATGGTCGCTGTTATTACCAATTAGGATTTGTTATTATTGACTTGACGAAACGAATAGGTCATTTAGTGTAGAATATAGTTATCACTACGTGTGGTGGGAACATCAGCTGGCCCACAAGCTTTGATTTCTTCTTCACATGATCTCCATCATGTCATCTACGGACGGCCAACCCACCACTTCGCATCCAGGTCCCACTTGATTCATTTGTCTAGTGTGTAATCTCACTCGAAGGTCTGTCTGCATGTTCGATGAGAGATAGATTGTTGACTGAAACACACTGTCAGAGCTCCTTGTTGCTTGTCCTTTTTCTAGACGACCATCTGACCTTCAACATCGAGTGAACGGGGGTAGGTATTGATGAAATTCAGCAGCTTATTGGAAATGCAATAAAGATATGCCACTGAAACCCTATGATCCACTCGGAACGTAAGTAATCAATAATTGAAGAAATATAAATAATAATAATGCTGGCTGGTTGACTGGTTTCAACACAGAACTGTGTCAGTCGTCAAGTCGTCACACTTCATGTATCATGGAAAGGAAGACAAAGGAGAGAAGAAAAGAGGTTCAAAATAACATTATAATCAGCAGAAATTTCAGGGAGAAGGAATGGTAACATGGAAAAATATGAAGGTTTAGTAGATGTAGGAGATTACAAAGAGTTGAATGCATCTGTACCACTGAGAACGATTTCGAGCCATATCGTCAATTGTCTTCATCCACTAGTTCTTAGCATCTCTAAGAGCCAAACTAGGGAGTTTACACCTTCCTATGTGGCTGAAACTTACTGTCAAGTATTTCATGGACATTAATCATAATAATAATAAGAAAACCATTGGTGACTTCATTAGAGGTGTATCCAAAGTTTTATTCACTAATCGATCTTTTTTAAATAAAGCATCGTCCCAAGTTTACATTCTTCACATCATGAATTTATATTCTTCATATTTTATTCCTCATTTTGTCAATCCCTGTTTTTATTCCCCCTTTCATTCTATCCGAACGACAAACAGAAGTTATGACTTGAAGTCAATTGGTTAATGGTGACTAGCAGTGGAATCCAGGATACACATTTCGTCCTATTTGGGAGTCGTCATCCAGATGTGCCTGCATTCCGCAGTGAGTGAGGGTGTTTCCACCGAGACTCGAACCCAGTGCCCATAGTTTCAAACGCCAAAGCGCTATCGGTGGGGGCGCCATCATTCACTGGGAAATACGGGTACATCCAATTGACGACTACCAAATGGGACGAAATGCGCGTTGTCCTGGATTCCACTTCTAGTCACCATCCACCAATTAAATTCTAATTACATGTCCAGACATCGTCGAAGCATCTGCATAAGGAGCCGACATGTCAATCTGAGACCAAGCACTTCGGTCCAATCAATCGACGGGATAATCTAAAATTGAATTAAAAAGAAGTTATAACTCCTAAATGATATGACACTCTCAATTGGGTTTTATAACTTGTAGTAAAGGAAAACCAAGTTTTTTTCCAGAGGAGGTAGAAACAACTAATATTTCAAATTCTCGCTGGCGGATGTCTGTGTATCAAACTAGATGTTAGCATCAGTGTTGCACATGAATTCGTCGGCGTAAATTATCTAGTTTACGTTTTATAAAAGAAATTTTTTTAAAATGATCTGTCTGTCTATCTATCTATCTATTCAAGGTATTGTTGGAACTGGTCTGTTCATCAATATGGCACGTCAAGTTTACATTGGTCATTTGAATGGCAGTGTTAGTAAATTAGAAGGAAAACCATCTAATTCCTATGCTTTAAATAATTCCAGTTGTAACTGATCAATATTTTATTGTATAACGATCGTTTTACACACACAGACACACACACGTATATACACAAGAATATTTTGATGTAAATTTTATTCATTCTTTCTTTCCTTCTTTCTTTCACAATCACACTCTCAGGGCTTATTTTTGCATATGGCTTTTTGTTGTTGTTGTTATTATTGTTTTTGTCTTTTTTCTAAAATAAAACAGAGAAATACTTGTTGTGATACTTTTGTTCTGCTTTTTCACTTGTTTTCTTTTCTACTCATAAAAATGCTTACACATACTACTACTCACATGTTGGTTAGTGTTTGTTTCTGATTACATTGATAAAGGATCAAAGTGTTTACACATAGAGACGGATATAAACTATTAGTTTATCTGTTCAAAAGAATGGACACTGAACAAAGAGTGTACTCTTTTCGATAAATTCATCATCAGGTTCTACAATTATATGTACATTATAATGAATGAATGAATGAATTAGTCTTATGAACGACATTAATGTTGTTTAAATAACATCAAATCAATAATATTGATAAATTACAGCTGAACAGCATCAACATAAAATGAGCTGAATGTCAGAAGATTTATGAAAGATAATAGTACAAATTCATGAGTTTATAGTTTCTACTGAGGGCCAGAGCTGTAGTAGGGGCTGGACTTGTTTCTTTTGAACACAGAGCACTGGTTGTTTGAGGCGAACTGCAATAGCCTCTGCTGTTTGAAGCATGTGGTGCTTCGATGATTTTGGTAATTTGTTAGGCACCTGGTGGATTATAGAGAAGGATTCTTCCACGCTGGCTGGCTTTGTGGCCGGTTTGCACCAGATGGTCTAATATCGAACTGTTATTATTATTATTATTATATTTTTATTATTATTTCCTTTAGTTCCTAGAGGAACATAGGGCTTCAGCCATGCGTCTCCATTGCGTTCGATTCTCTGCTAGAGTTTTCACCTGGCTCCAGGTCTGCCCACATGCTTTCATCTCCTCTTCACATGATCTCCTCCAGGTCACCCTTGGACGACCAACTCGCCGCTTCCCTTTCGGGTTCCACTCGAGGGCTTGTCTAGTGATGTCACTTGCTGGTTTCCTCAGAGTGTGGCCAATCCATCTCCATTTTTTCCTGCCTATTTGTTTCACAATGGGTTCCTGGTTGGTTCGCTCCCAGAGATCTTTGTTGCTGATCCTTTCCGGCCATCTGATCTTGAGTATTGAGCGAAGACATCTGTTAATGAAGGTCTGTAGCTTGTTTGAGGTGCTCTTTGTGACACGCCAAGTCTCTGATCCGTATAGTAGTACTGACTTCACATTGGAGTTGAAAATCCCGATCTTATTTTTGACGCTGAATGATGTTGTCCTCCACACAGACTTCAGAGTAATGAAAGCTTGCCTTGCTTTCCCGATCCTTGCTTTGATATCCTCGTCAGTTCCGCCTGTAGTTGAAACAATGCTTCCCAAGTGGGTAAAGGAGGTAGTTTCTTTCAGGTTTTTTCCATTTATGCTGATTGCTGTCTGTTGTTGTTGTTGGTGTTGGCCAGGGATCTTCATCACCTCTGTTTTTTCTATGTTCACCTGGAGTCCTATCTTTGATGCTTGTTCTGCCAACTTGTTACTTTTCACTTGCATATCTTCCAGTTTGTGGGAAATCAGGCATATATCATCGGCGAAGTCCAGATCCTCCAAGTTCTTTGTGTGAGTCCATTTTATGCCTGTTTCCTCATTGCCCGCTGTTTGTCGCATTATCCAGTCTTTTTTTTTTTTTTTTTTTTTTTTTTTTTTTTTTTTTTTTTTTTTTTTTTTTTTTTTTTTTTTTTTTTTTTTTTTTTTTTTTTTTTTTTTTTTTTTTTTTTTTTTTTTTTTTTTTACTGCAATCAGGATGAGATGTATAATTGTCGGCGGCACCCCGTAGTAGCGAAGTAGTTGCCAAATCACCTCTCGATCGACGCTGTCGAAGGCCTTTTCAAAGTCGATGAAGTTGAGATAGAGAGGTGACTGCCATTCCAAACTTTGTTCAATGATGATCCGTAGTGTGGCGATTTGATCAATACATGACTTGTTACTCCTGAATCCAGCTTGTTCTGGTCGAAGTTTTTCATCCAAGGCTTGTTTGATCCTTTCCAGGATGATGCGGCTTAGTATTTTGCTTGGGATGGAAAGGAGCATAATTCCGCGCCAGTTCTTGCATTGACTTAAGTCTCCTTTCTTTGGTAGTTTGAATAGGTATCCTTTCTTCCAATCCTCGGGTACTTTGCCTTCTTTCCACACTTTCTCAAGTAGTGGCATCATCAGGTCTGCTGTTGTCTCTGGGTCGACTTTCAATGCTTCTGCTGGGATTCCATCTGGTCCTGCTGCTTTCCCAGCTTTCAGCATCTTGATTGCCTTCAGGACTTCTGATTTCGTCGGGGGGTTGATGTTCACTGGTAATTCTGCTTCCGTTGTTGGTATTGTTGGGCGCGTTGTAGGTGGCGGTCGGTTTAGTAGTCTTTTGAAGTGTTCAGCCCAGTGTTTCCTTTGCTCCACTTCTTTGGTGATTGACTTTCCATTTTCATCCTTCACTGGCTTAATTTGTGACGAATTTTTGCCTGAAAGGTACCTAGTTGTTTGGTGAAGTGTTGCGAGGTCTCCTTTGCCTGCAGCTTGTTCTGCTTCATTGGCCATGGCTTCATAATACTTTCTTTTGTCTTCTCTGGCACTCTTCTTTACTCCTTTGTTCAGTGTATTGTAGCTTACATTCAACTCCTGTTTCTGTTGCTCGTCGGTGCACTGCAGAATTTTTTGTTTCACCATCCTTCTCTCCTCTATTAGCCTCCAAGTGTCCGTAGTGAGCCACGGTTTGTCCTGTCTCTTCTTTCTGCCCAGAACTTCCATGCAGGTTTCGCTCCATACTGTTTTCAGGTTGTTCCAGTGTTTTTCGACGCTGACCTCTTCACCAGTGTTGATTTGTGTCTCGGCTTTGTCCTTTATACTTGCAGTAAAGATATCCTTTGTATCCTGGTCCTTTAGTTTTTGAGTGTTGAACTTGGCTTGTGGTCTATCTGCAGCTCCTGTTTCTCTGAAAGCCTTTAATTTGAGTTGGATTGTTCCTTGTACGAGGTAGTGGTCTGAGCCAACGTCTGCTCCTCTTCTTGCTTTTGTGTCCAGTAGGCTGCGCCGCCACTTCCTCGAGATTGTGATGAAGTCAATTTGGTTTTTGGTTCGCCCATCTGGTGACACCCATGTAGCCTTGTGAATATCCTTGTGTTTGTATACGCTGCCACCAATCACTAGTTCATTGAAGGCGCAGAAGTCGGCGAAGAGTTCTCCATTTTCATTCATCTCTCCCAGAGCTTCTTTACCCATGATGAGTTCCCTTCCTGTGTTGTCTGGTCCCAGTTTGGCGTTCATGTCTCCCATTAGTATTTTGATGTCACCGGCTGGAGTATTGTCTATTGCTACCTGCAGTTGTCTGTAGAATTCTTCTTTCTTTTCGAGGTCTGCGTTGTTGGTCGGTGCATAGCATTGTATAATTGACACTTTCCTTCCTTTGGAGTTGAATCTGGCGGTTATTATCCTGGGTGAGATCGCCTCCCATTGTATCAGAGCCTTGGTTGCCGTTGGTGACATCATTATAGCCACGCCCTCGGTGTGTGTGTGGTTGTCTTCTGGGTGACCGGAGTAAATCACTGACTCACCTGTTGACAATTTGGTGAGTCCGGATCCGTTCCATCTGCTTTCGCAGATCCCCAATACTTGTAGTCCGTATCTCCTCATTTCGCTTGCGATCTGGGCAGCTTTGCTAGTCTCGTACATGGTGCGGACATTCCATGTCCCCACACAGACTTTTTCTTTTGACGCAAGGAGACTGTTCACGCTGAAGTTTCTGTAGCAGGTTTGTTTACAGGGTGGGGTTGCTGGCCTCACGCCTGAGTTTAGTCTTTGGGTACCTGAAATAGAAGAAAGGTTAGTGTTGCGTGACCGCAGAGCCCAGGGGACATCTGCTTGAGGCCGGTCACACACGGCCTGGTGTGTCTCAGTAGCGTACTTATCACTTCTGCCCTGTGACACGGCAGCAGAAAGCGCGGTCGTTGTTAATCCGGGCCACGGCCGATCCGGCATGATATTTCTTGGATTCGTTTGGTTCATCGGGTTGGATTGTTGACGACTAAGTCCAGCCCCCACTGATACCGTCGCCAATGTATCAGTAGGTTGTGAGGTTTGACAAATTTGGTTGATGCCCGTTGCTACTATCAACGGAGCTACGCTAGGAGCGGTGTGGCGACCCAAGTTATCTCCTACTGATACCGTCGCCACCGTCATATCAGTAGAAGTCCGGTTAAGCTGCCGGTCAGCCTCGGCTTCATATTCAGCTCCCCGTTGTCGATAACATCGTGGATGAAATGAAAGAGCATGTACATCCTAGGAAACTCTAAAATAGCAGAATACATCCTGAAATTAAAGAAGCATAGCTCCGCAACCGTACGTCCTACATGGACGAGACAGGTACCAATTGGTTCGTCTCGTCGAGAGGAATCCAATGGTATATAAATCAGAGGGTAAAAGCTATTCCTAAGAAGAATACGAGGGTTTTCCTGCCTAGCAGTCTCTGCCCCCCTGCTGCCCTATGGTTGGTAATGCCCCCTAGCTACATACACAACGGCATACAACCTGAGGTCGCGGAGCTAAAAGATGTCAAGAGAACAGCCAGCGGCATGAACTCTAGGCCTAGAAACAGGTTTCCCCTGTAGCCTTTGAAAAAAATTCCCTATTCGGCTGAGGAGAAGCTATAAGGTGTGAAACCGGTACCAATGGGTAGATTTCGTCGAGAGCTATCCATTGATATATAGCTTCCCTAAGTCCTAGCCTCCCTGGAAAAATTTTGGCAGCATAACCCCAGAGGGCGGAAGCCCAGATATCAAAGATCCTGAGGAAGGCTGAGGAGAGGCTACAAGGGTCGAAACCAATGTCAAAGGATAGATCTCGTCGAGAGCTATCGATTGATATATAGCTTTCCTATGCCAGAGCATCCCT